CCCCAAGGTGTGACCTAATTTGTGAACGGCCCCTACTCACTCACAACTCACACACAGGAATATCAGTAGTTCTTCGAAAATTGCAGCGATTGCAGTGTGTGTGGCCCAACCAGGTTGCAATGATTACGATAATACGTGTCGTGATAGTAGAGTAGCGTTATCTTATCGTTGTTTTGACACTTCTGGATGTATTAGGAAAGAAAGGCAGGAGACTAGGTACCTTTTTACTATAATATACTGTTCGCACCTACCATGAGGCTGATTCGCCCCGCGCGCAGGACTCTAATCCGAACGCGCCCCTAGCTAGCTAGCTTATTGGCCTATCGTTTCTTGCCAGCAGCGCCAGCGACTGGAAGGCCTACAAGTAGGCAACACGCACAAAAATTCCCATAAAATGCGGTTAATGCCCATCAAAATGGGCATTGTAGGTCCCACACTTCAACGCATGAAATTCGAATTTACTGAGCTCTAGATCTGAGGCACGCCAAAAATGGGGGACATTTTAAGTGCATCACCACCACCATCGCCACTGAATATTCAAACGAAGATTTAAGAGTGTTTCAGTAGCGTTAAACGTCATATCATTGTAAACCGCATTTTGACCACAATAGCAAAGGTGAAATTTAAAGACGGTTTTTTGCCAGTTTGTACTTATGCCGCGCATTCGCTCAGCTGACTTCTCGTTTCCGGTTTCATCGCCTCCCACCAAATTACCCTTCCTCTTCCCCTCCAAACAAACCAGAACAAAACAAACTTTTGGTGCAAGGATGACCGTGAAGTGAAACTGATTTAAATGGAAACAACTAACCGGCAGTTTAAGTTTCGGCCGAAAGAAAGTTTTCTTTGACTTCTACAACCATTTCGGATTTGGTGATATCAACGACTGACATACGAGTGACATATCTGTCAGATAGCAGTTTGAGGACACGTACCTACCGCACAGTTTGAATCTTTTTGTCAAAACTTTATGAGTTTCTCCTGTTGTAATGGCTAAGTGCTGCGCGCCATACTGTGTGAATAATCAGAAAAAAGATTCTGTGGAATGCAACTTTTTCCAGTAAATACTGTTTAGGTTATGGTGTCCTGTGTGTAAAATGAAATATGCCACAAGTTAATCAACTATCCCTTTCTTTACCTCTGTTTCTAGGTTCCCAGAAAATCCCTGCCTTCGAAAGCAGTGGATATCAAACATTGGTCGACCTCATTGGAGCCCTGGCAGACGGAGCGTCATATGCTCAGCACATTTTGAGGATAGTCAAATAGAGATAAAAGGTCGAAAAGTTCTTTTGCGAAAGAATGCCATACCAACTCTTTTTCAAAATTCCAGCAAAAAAAGGGTGAGGTTTTAATCCATTTACTGTCTGGATTTCTCTTATTTTAATGAGCCTATCTAATCATGAATTCCTTTCTGCCAGTTGGAAGTGATAAAGCCTCCTGACCGCTGTAAGTTATTTGCTCACCATATACTCGCATGCAACTGTTTAGATCGTTATCTACATTTTTAATGCTGCTTCTTATCAATAACTTCCTTAGCCAAAACTTCTAAAGTTCAACTACTTCAATTATCTCAAGAACAAAATGTTACCACCCTTATTGCCACAGAAGAAGTGGTTACAACCTCTGAAGCAAAAGTAAACCTTGACTCTGACTTGGATCAGAGCCTGGAAAAACAGCCATCTAATCTGAGACTGAGAGTGGAGCTTGCTTCTAGTATGGATGAGTTTGTAGTTGAAGATACATACATACTTTCAGATTGTGAGGTTGTTGGTAACCAAGTGGAATCTCAACAGTCTCAAATGAGTTATGACAAGCTTATTGCAGAGGATAAAACATCAGATTTTATGAGCCCTCCTGGTAATATTTCTCCGGCACTTGCACAAAGTCTCAATTTTCAGAACAAACTTTCCTTGGTGCAAAATAATTCTATAACAGTGGACTCCAACTCCTCATCTGATACATCTTGTAAAATGTTTCTAATTCCTGAGAACCAATACTCAAAATCAGACAGCATTACATTTAGTCAGCAAGCTACTTCTAAGCTAGACCTGTCAGGCAAGCAAGTTTTGGATTTATCAGAAATAGCAACTCCTTACTCTGCTGACACAGAGACATGTGTTTTTCCTGTTAAAGGCAACACGATCATAGTGCCTCCTATTAAAAAACGCAAGTTGTCTGAAAGTGATATCTCTTTTATACCAAATTTTAGTGAAGAAGCTGGAGCTGTAGATCAAGAAGAAATCCATGTACATACCAAACCAAACCAATTTATTCAGAAGGGTTTCATAGAATTACCTGTCTCTATATCTTGTCATAAGTTGAGCCAGAATTTCAAAAGAAATTCAGAGTCATCAATCAAATGGCAAAGTGGTACTTATATGTGCAGGTTGTGTGGTATTGCAAGCAATAAAACTATCAATCTATTCAGCTCTAAAGCCAAAGAAACAAATTTGTTAACTCGAATTTCTTCTATTCTTTCTATTAAGGTGAGGAATGAAATCAAGTTTCTCATCTTTTAATCAAATAACTTATGTTTCTCTTCTATTTATATTCTTTTTTCATTTTTTAGATTGTTCCAAATGATGACCTTCCTCAAAACATATGTTCTAATTGCTTAGACAGCTTAGACACTTGTTCAGAACTTATAGTATCATCTTTTAGAACTCACAATCAGTTAGCGTCTGTGATGGGACAGGTACCCATTATTCTTTTGGGTTCTCACTTAAATGATCACACTTCATATTTTACATCAACTTCTTGTCTCTTTTAACTAGGATGTCAAGGAAACATCACATCTCCCTGTGTTCTTTCATGAGAGTAAGAGGAAAAGTAATCAGAATATGGTACAGTATCTAGAATTTTTTTTTTGATAGCTTATTTGTAGCTTATTGTCCTTTCCAATCGGAAACTAATACAATCTAGTCATATTGCAGAACTGGCAAAGACATATTCTCCTAATGGAGATTATTCATGAAAAGGATAAATCTTTCCAAGAGTACTTATCTATTGCTTATAATGACCTTCATATGAGACTGTCATCAGAGGTAATTTTTTATTAAAAGAAAAAAACAACAAAAAAACACATAAAATTTTTCAACATTGAATTTCTCACTTATACTTTGTTAAACATAAACTTCTTTTCTTCCAGATTGGTGAAATCAATGAGCCACAATGCAGTTTGTTACTTGCTTCAATCTCTAACAGCTGTACTGTGTCTGAAATAGAGCAAGCACGCACAGCTGCTGAAGCTCTTATTTGTAAGACACTGATTTGCCATGAAAACAGTGAAAGAGAATCTGAGCCTCTTTTGGAATTTATTTCAACAGGCGATGATGAGCAATGTTCTGATGATGACAGTGCCCATCCTGCTATTGTTCTGGAAGAAGAGTTTGATCCAACCGAGTCAGAAGTAATATCTGATGACGTAACAAACATAGAATCCATTCCATTGGTTGCATCAAACAGCAGTTTTCAATTTCTACCAAATGATTTTCAAGTGATGCCTATCGTAGATGATGCCAGCCCCAGTGAATATCTGCCCTTTGAAAACAAATACTCAAAATTAAGTGAAATGAGACTTTCAAAAGAAAAGTCACTCGAAAATATGCAAAAATTTCTTTTTTGGCATATAACAGAAGACAAAAATATTAAGTTGGGTTGTAGACTCTGCAACACTCATCTTGATCGACTCTCAAATTTTCAACATCATCTTGAGAGTCACACAGACTTTCTGGGAAATATCAAGGAAAACATTGATATGAGAAGGCAGCTGTCTCAGACAGACCACAAATCCCAAATGACCACAGGAATATCCTCTCGGTATCAATGTTCAGTTTGTAGTGAACATTTTCCTGTGAGGTCATCCCTTAAATTACATCTTCAGCAGCAGCATGAAGCAAATGCTAAATGTGAGGCATCGGATATTTGCAAAGCTTCTTCACACCATAAGTTCTGTAACAAATTTAAGAAAGAAAAAGAATGGCAGTGCAGAAAGTGCTTAGAAGTCTTTTCAATGGAGAGTGAGCTACAGGTGAGTAATGTCATCTTCCAATTTAATGTTTTGGTTTCAAAAAATAAAATTTTAGAGGTCACTTAATGATTAACATTGCAGAAACATCAAGCACTGACACGTCATGATACGGAGGCGGTCAGTTGGCTCTGTGATGTTTGTGGAAAGAGATATTCCCAGCCAGCAAAGCTTAATCAGCACAAAAAGTCTCATCTCCCAGCAGAATTTAAATACATTCATCAGTGCACTCACTGCCCTAAGAGATACATAAATTCGTAAGTAAAGTTCATCTAAGAAAGGAGATCATCTGTGGATGTGGCTACTTCTGATCAATACTGTTTTCTCTAGATCTAGACTCAGAGAGCATATGCAAAAGCATGAAGAAAAGAAGTACATGTGCAAAGTTTGTGGTAAGCTTTTCAGCACAAAACAGATACTTAAGCAGCATGAGTTTACTCATGGAGACCCCCAATTTTTGTGTTCATTGTGCTCAAGAACATTCTTTAGAAAGAGTCATCTTTTGAAACACATGAACGTGCATAATCCTCAGAATTCAAGGTAGGATAATTGTCTTATTCATGGGTATGTACTATGTGGTGTGCAACTGCTACCAGAGTCAATTTTCATTTCAGGGCTTGTCGTGCTGGACCGCAGCCACATCGGGATGGATTGAATCGTTGCAGGGAATGTAAGAAAGTTTTTGATCAAAACACCCTACTAGATCATTATAAAATGTGCCACCCAAACATTCCTCTTGACAATTACGTGTGTGAAATTTGCAAAGAAGAAAATACTTCATATGCTGAACTTTACCAACATCAGAGAGAAGTCCATAAGACAGGTGTTAAAGATTGTCCTTTTTGTGATAAGACAATTGATAGTTCTACTCAGATGAAATATCATTTAATGAGACATGAAGGTATGTTTCCCTACAACTGCCCACTGTGTCACCATGGTTACACAGCAAATAGTGTCCTACAAGATCATATTCGAAGAAAGCACACAGGAGAAAAGCCTTTTGAATGTCAGCAGTGCTTAAAACGTTTTCCAACTAATGGTGCACTGGCCCAACACAGCACAGTAAGTAACAAGAGTAGAGAAGGTCAACTCAAGATCCTCTTATCATCTAAAACTGACTCACTTTGTTAACTTTCCAGGTACATTCTCTGCCTCATCAACTTCTCCCTTGCCCAGTTTGCAATCAAGGATTCAAACGAAAGGCTCATCTAGATGTTCACATTCGCACGCATACTGGAGAGAAGCCTTACCCATGCCCCATATGTGATCGCCCTTTTCGTCAAAGACCAGACTGTGTGAAACATATTCGTGTTATTCACGGGGAGGACCCATCTAAATTCGACATTCGCTTTCATCCAAACATGGGTGTTACATTTCCTCAAGTTGTGTCTGTCGCTGACATGGAATTGATTTTGGAGGGTGAAGACCTTATGCAAACATCTTTAGAAGCAAATCAACTGATTGTCAATCATGAAAATAATAGCTAAGCTAAGCTAGACTGAATTTATATAAATGAAACACGTAGTTCAAATGTTGCCATTTAATCATGATAAAAAAAGAAGTGGTATCTGATTATCTGTGGCCAGCAAAATATCAAAGCTAAGCAATCTGTGATTTATTTATAAGACCGAGTATGAGACCAACAAAATAAAAGCTCAACTCTGGTACACAAATTGGTTTTCTTTGCGAGCCTCCCGTTCACTTCCTAAAATCTGCACCTCAGTAGTCCAGAGGCCGAGGCAGTCATTTCCACTTTTTACTGCACCGCGCGCCACGGGTTGGCACGGATATAGCACGGTGCAGCCAGACGGAAATTCTCGGTCAAGTTCAAAGGCGGGCTGTGGTCCCCTTCCACGCGGCTGGAGCCAGCTCATGTGTACAGTGGGGCCCGCGGGGGGAATCCTTGTTGGCGGTCGGGCCAGGGCCAGTCGGCTGCTAGAGTCGCACTACTCGCCTGCCAGCTGCGGTCCGCCCGCTTGTCGTTGGGTAGGCAGACCCGCGGCGCACCCCTGCATCACACCTCGACTGTTGCCTACCGCGCCAGGCGCTCCCCAGGCCCTGATGCAATGGCTGGCACGCCCGGAAAGCCAGTGCTCACGCTGGTGATTTTCTTCGCGCTCCTGGTCGCTTTCGCAGTGGCTGACGGGCTGCAGGATTCCAAACAAGGTCTGTCGCAAACTTGATGGCACCGCATTTCGTTTACAGCGCGACCGCCTTTGCCTCCGATAGCAGTGAATTTCATGTCATTACAGCAGGAGAGTGGACGACAGGCCACACCTCGGCTGAACGCGCAAGGAGAACAGTGCGTGGCTGTGACGATGCTCGCGGCGAGCTGAGACCAGAAATGCAGCACCCTGTAAGTTCGTCTGAGTTGGCTTGCAGTGATCCGGCTGGGGCCAGCTGGTGCCAATGGGGAATTGCCATTTGTAATTAACTCATCAGATCTCGTTGTTCACACCATTACTAACGATAAATCAATTGCTTTCGTGCACAGTACAGCGCAGCCGTGGTGGACGGCATTGTCAAGCACATCAACATGAGGCTTACTGATCTCAAGAGCCAGAAGGTGCCCTATGGACCTGAACCTTACCGTACACGAACCCAAACGGGTAGGTTTCATGGAGGCCGGAAAAAGCAACGAGGAAAGGGGTCAAAATTAGAAGCATTCCTTGGGTATTAGTAGTAAAATTAACTAAGATGCTCCATCAGTAGTGCAAATACATACATTTAATACTTGAAAAAAAGGAATTAAACATAGTAAGCAAAAATTAATCATCTATAGGTACTTGTAAGCTCATAGATCCACAATCACAGGTTTTTCGTCCTCTTCTTCTTCGTCTATGTCATCGAAATCCCAAGAAAATTTTTCTGTTAATCGTTCAGCAAATCGTGCTGTCCGTGTCTTAAAACGGCCCTCTAAGTTATTATCTGGAGATTGAATATTGCGAAAGAGGCGCCGTAAGGCCCTGTAGATGGCATTATTATTTGTCACAATATCAGCAAGAAAATCCTCTTGAACTTCCCACAACTGCGGTTCTAAAGACCACATAAAGTTCTCATATAGTTCATGATGTTCTCTTATGGCTTTTTCACAATTGCATAATAAATCCACCTGAACAAACATTTAAAAAAGTAAGAGATTAATTCAACTGTTTAAATTGAAGGATATAGTAAACTTAAAAAACATGTCAAGCACTAACTAATCTTTTCCAATGTTCAAAGGCTTCAAGGCTCTGTCCAACAAGAAAACACAAAAATGTGAACTGCAGCTCACCAACTAAGTTATCCGGTCTGAAATCAAATCAAGGAATAGATTTCATTTTCTTTTTTTCTTCTTTTAAATTTAAGGAGAAACAAATAAAAAGAAGAGTGTGACAAACAACCTTTCATGCTGATCTAAGACTGTTTTGAGAGCATAACTGGAGTCCATGGAGTGTAATGTGATTTCTGCTGGAGTTGAACCAGGAGGATAATACAATTTAGGAAAATTTGTGAGCCTCAGTGCTGTTCCTGGTGCAGGCTTGAGTCCTGGAAGCAAGTCTTCTTCAATTTCCTCAACAGTTAGGGGGCGCCCATGTCTTCGCCTTTTATAGGAGCCAACATCCTCTGCAAAAGAACAAGAGCAAATAAGTCAATGATTTGAGAAAAAAAAAAGAGAAAAAAAAGACACGAGATGTCACAAGATTCTGATTTTACCAGATGTCGGACATGAGTGTTTACCACTAGGGCTATCAGTCTCAGGAGTGCTTTCTGACGGTGGATCTTTACTACCATCAGGGTCGGTTTTTACTTCATTTAATGACACTAATTCCAGGGCTGATCGAATAACACCTGAAGCAGGCATTAACTGCTTAGCCAAAGGTTCTGAAAGAGAGGAAAATGTGCGCAATTTAAGCAAAGGTAAACACTGAGTCACAAGTACAACAATACATGCAAAGATAATTATTTACCAGTGATTTTATCAGAAAGTAATTTCCACTTATCCCAAATTTCATAGGGATATGGTCCCAAGAAACGATCAATATTACACAAATTAGCTCGTATTCGTTGCAATTCCTCTTCTGTTACTGTTTCTATGAAATGAATAAAAAACAAATATTTTAATATTCATAAAATTACGCCATATAAATAAATTTCATTTGAAAAAATCAACTCACTACTGTGATCTATTTCTCCTGAATTTGAGTCCCATTTCTTGACGATAATATCTCCTTTCTTGAAACATTCCATGAATCCTATTCTAGGAGCTGTATCACCATGTCGCCCAATAGCACTGCAAGTAAAACAAACGGAGTTCAAGTAATCATTGGCAGCACTCAAATATTATTTTACCATTCATTGTTATCAAGAAAGAAAGGAACAGACCTATGATAGATAAAATGGATACCTGGAGGAATCATTTTTATTCCCCTGAATCTTTCGCCTGTTTCCCACGACTTTAAATCAATTCCGAAATTCGTCCCTTCGGGCACATCAAGCACTAAAAGAGTTGCACCTTCCACGAGTAAACGCCGAGCTTCATCTTGGTCCATTTCCCTGTAACGTAAAGAATGATCACTTGTCAAAATAATTATATTCCAAAAAAGTTATATAGTTGTCAAATATCACAACATAACCCTTCAAGCCAGTATGAAGAACGATTTCAGCATGCACAATCAATTATTCGGTTCATATATCAATTTTCTAAAAATAAAAATAGAATTATTAAAATAATACAAACATTTTAAACTGTGTTAAATTCGTGGAATAAAAAGAATTTCCAAAATAGGAATACTTTGGCTGCACGCCCCAAACATAAACAAAGCACTTCTACCACTATTCACAGCTGTGGCTCGTGCTTTGCTTTGCACTACTGCGATTAGTGGGCAAATGGCCGCTGCACCGGTACGTTAGCAAGGACGATTGACTAGTGAATTTACGTTTTATTCCGCATCTTCCCTCTCTCTTGTGGAAAGTTTCGAAGAAATTTCACCAGCGATCACTACGAGAACATTTTGAGAATGAACGTGCCCCCTCAAGGGCAAGTAGGAATGCAACAGGGGCCTCAGCAGCAGCCCCAACTGGGCCAACAGCAGCCGGGCCAGCAACAACAGCAAGCTTCCCAGCAAAATCAGCAACAACAGGCTCAACAACAGCAGGCTCCTCAACAATCGCAACAGAATCAACAACAACCAGGTCAGCCATCCAGTCAACAATCGCAGCCTGGAACGCCTGGATCACAAGCACAACAGCTTCAACAGCAGCAACAGCAGCAGACTCAGGAGAAGCTCGACAACATTTCTAAAGTCAAATCTCTGATAGGACCTTTGAAAGACCACTTGGCTGTAAGCTGCTCTGAATATTAATAGTTTATTTACGTTTATGGCTTTAGCACTCTTGTCCCTCATTAACTTTTGTCTTATTTTTCAGGTTGCTCTTAAAAGTGCTGCTCATCTTCTTCATTACAATACCATGGTGGACAATGGTTCATCGTAAGTTGTTAGAACTCCTGTACATTTCTTCAGGAAACTGTTGTGGCATCTACGTACATATAATTTTATTTTTCCCCTGTTACAGGAAAGGATTGGATGTTGTTCCTCCCCGCCTTGATGTAAGCCTGGAGGCATTTTATAGTACCTGTGACCAAATTGAGCTACACCTTGTAAGTTTATTTATGCACACATTTACCTTGGCACATTATGCCCATGTCATACAGTGTGGTCTTACATATCTTCTTTCTCACTTTAGAAAACAGCTATTGAATGCTTGAATCAAGGAGCCAGCAGTCAACGTTATCTTCCACTTAACGTTCTACCCACAAGAACTGAACATCAGCCTGGCCAAGAGGGTCTCCTGTATCCACAGTACTTAGCAACTGTTAAAGCTCAGATTCAATTTGCTAAACAGATGCATGACATCTTAATAATGGCTGTTCAGAATTTAAATGCCGTAGAATGAGAACGCTATACATTTTTTACTACATCTCTGTGATACTGTAATTATTAGGAAGTGGTTAAGGTAAGTAATTGTGTATAGGTCTTTGTAAAAGGTGTTTAATGAATGTCAGGTATCAGGCTTTTGCTTCAAAATGAGCACAAAAATAGATCATACAAATTGTACAAAAAAAACTTTTATATATACAGGAACAACATTATATCACAATATGAATTTTAACAATTTTTAAAATCCATATAATATGTTTTCAAATGGATTTGAGGGTTTAAGGATTTTTGTCAAAGTGTTGTGTCTGTCCGTCTACAGTTTACTATAGTTAGTTAGTTTTAATTACCAACTAAGTAATGGTTTAAGAATTTGGTCATGAACACTAACCAAGTGTATGCCATCTTAACCATTATCACGGATTGCAATTTGTCTTATTTTGCTAAAATAGTCAAAGTTCCTGTCACAATTGTCAATATCATATACAAAGGCAAAGGAATTCAAAGTACTGTAGTATGAGTCCCTGGTTGCACTGCTAAACTAAATAAGAATATATCAATAACATTAAACAACCTGATGCAGGTACAAAATTTAACTAAAATACTCCATTCATCCTCTCACTAAAATAAGTGGAATGAGAACAAATTAAAATCACATTAAATATTAAACACAATCTTAAAATTAGTTAGGGTCAGACTTTAAAAACATTTCAATGAAATTTTTGCTGAGATACCTATCACAATATCAACAGCCACTCTTACATTCCATATGCTAGATGGTGATTTACACTATTCCAATATTCAGTCCTGTGCTGCCTCCTCACATTATCTGCCACTTATAGTGTCAGTACTGGAGTCACGTTTTTTTAAAGCACAACACAAAGAAGAATTAGGAACACCTCTGAGCATGTGCCACAACTCAATTTTCAGAATGTCAAGGGTTGGAATCATCTTCTCACAAACTCCTGTGTCAATCTGTGGTTCAGCTCGGAGTCTCCTCTTGATTTTTTCCTTTAGTTGTCAGCCACTGGTTCCAGCAAAAAAAGGTATGAACTATCACCATAAGTTCCAATTATTAAAGGAACCATGTTCAATAGATCAGAGTTCAATCCTCACCTGAAAAAATAAAGACTTAATTTAGAAAAGAGATTTATGCCTCCTGTATGTTATAAAATCTTAGAGCTTTTCTTACCACTGTCATAATTGGTTCTCCACATCACAGGCCTGCTGTCATCTGATGAGCCAAATACCTCTTGTGAGGCATATGTAACATGCAGCATGCCATCTTCATCCTTATGTTCATTATAAACTTCAGCTATTGTCATAGAAAGATTCATCATTGACCTATTGTTGACCAGGAGATAAATGGCTTGGTTTGGACGCAAATTCATACGTTTTCTGTAACAATATACAAATTATCAGGAAAAATATCCCAGGTATGATGAAATATTATAAAATTTATAGTGGCAAGGCTTAATACCTGATAATCGCTACAAATTGAGACATTGTTGTTTCCTCTGGTACTAAAAATTTCACTTTTTCCAAAAGTGGAAGACTTGCCTCCTTGTGAAACCTTTTCACTATTGTCTATAATAGAAAAGATATCACAAATTAGACAGTCAGAAAGATCAAAATATTCCCCTTTCTTTTTGTTTATAATAAATAACACTTGGCAAATTACTTGCAAACACTTACGGGAACTTTTGTTGGAAACTTTATTCTCATGGCTGCAACTTCTTCAATTCTTGAAGCTGGAACAGAAAACAATAGCAATGTATTTCTGAAGATGCATAAGTTCATAATTTGAATGTTCTCCACCACAATTATAATATTCTAATCCTTAAACCTCATGAGTAAATTCAATATCCGTAATACATAAAAACTTGTAAGGCAGTTCTATATGGGCTACTGTACTGCCGTCATAATTACTAAACTAAGCGGAGACATTCATTTGTAAGACATGAAACTCTTTTCGTGTTATCAGCTTTAGTTGAAAGTTATGGTAATAGAACACAAACACAACACAGTAGTGCCAAGTATAATATTGAAGTCCACAAGTGTTCAGTCAAAGCACTTTGTTAGTTTACCTCCGAGGGCATACATCTAAAGTAACAGAAGTAAAACAAAAGGTCTGATATGATTCGTACCGTATGCCTTCTTGCGTTTGGTAACTTTCTTGAGGTTCGAGTTTTTATCCAATTTCGTTGACATCTCCATTTTCAACATTTCGTTTTGGAGACGGTGGGCCACGTTTCTGTTCACTCGAATACAACACAACACTTCGGGACTGCTCGAAACACACTGACTTGACACAGCTCCGAGTGACACTTGTTAACCGGTTGAGAGTCGGATCAGAACTGAGGCGGGAGACGTTGACGTGAGTGGACGTGCTGGACCGAGCCCGGCCGGCAAGCGGAGCGGCCGAGGTGGGTCTTCCCGTCGGCCGAGCCTGGCCGAGCCTGGCCGAGCCGGGCCAAGCGCCGACGGCAGGCGAACATCTTTTCGTGATAAGGAACCCTCGACTCTGTAATGGTAAAAGCCAAAAGCTTACAGTGGGAGGACAATTTTGTCGGAAATGGTCGCATGGCTTGGCGTTTTCGACATGTTGATGCAACGCATAGACGAGTGATTTTGAAACCGACCGCCCTCTTTACTGCATGAGCGATTTTGCCACCACAACCATCTTATTCAACCAAAAGAAATATAGTTTTCTATATAGTTTTGAGGAATTCCATATATTTTTTGGAAAGATAGAAATAAGTAAATATTAAAAATATCAAAAACCACAATTATAAGCCTACAGTGTGAGTGAATAAAACTCTTGGAACTCGTCTTGAAATGTGTTGTGTTTATCACATTGCTAGCAGAAGAAATAGTATTTTGCTTTTAGTGTCGTCGGCTCCAAAACGATAAATACCGTCGCAGGTTAAGTTGTGACTTTGAAGGTCGCTGTAGAACCTTTCCCTGACAATAAATGGCTAGCATGCTTCAGGTGATCACAGATGATAAGAAATCGGTAAGCTCAATCGTTTTGACAAATCCTTTTTATCAATAGCATTTGATAAATACCTGAACTTTTAGTCTATGTAGAGGGACTCCCCTTAAGACACACTTCAAAAACATTGTGCTTAACGAAACTAATCCATTGGTAAGTTAGTCACTCTTCTTAGAACTGGGTGATTTTAATGGTAGTAGTCTTTTCTGACATATTTACCTTTGCATAACCTCTATTCCTTAAAGTACTCATATTTGCATATTGACTCATGAGTTTGTGATGATTAACCTATGTATTACAAATAGTCAATACATTTTACACGTTTTTGTTCTGAATCCATACGATTGAATGTCATTGTTATTTAATCAACAGCTGTGTTGATGTTGACAATAGATAGCATCTATCAGTGTATTACGCAGGGGTCAACTTGTTACGTTTAGAAAGTTAAGGTCGTAGAAAGGGTTTAAGCTCTTAAAGTAGATTATAAATAGATAAGCTTGACGTCCTTTATATTTGTAGATTGAGATTAAAATATTATTGTGTTTAAAGTTTTCAATACTTTTAAGCTTTTGTCCATCAACCTTGTGTTTTTGCTTAAACTAATCAGTTAATTTTCTTTTTGCTTTTCTTTGCATGCAGCATGGATGCTGAATATGCATGCCAAGAACAAAGTAAGTCCTACCTTTATTGGTTGTTTTTTTATTTTGTTTGTAATATTGTAATATCTTGGGAATTTATTTGACACTGTTAACATTTTTTTTTCCTGCCTCTAAGCATAGTCTAAGAAGTGCAGTAGGTACATGTAGGGGTGGCGAAGAGCGTTCTTAGCGAAAGGGGGTAAATATAGAGGGGATAATTAGAGTGATATGGGGTTGGAACGGAGGTACGGTAGTGGACTCTGTGAGGGCAGAGAAATGGGCCGGGCAGCCGGGCACCGGCTGTCGGGAGCAGTCGCGGGACACTCGGAACCCCGGCCCGGAACGGCCCGGGAGAGAGGGGTGTGTGCGGTCGGAGGAGGGGGAGGGAGGTGCTATCTGTTTTGCTTCATGACAACACGCAGATGTTTGCTTCCTGGAAGATATATCACTTTTAAAAGATGACGTGAGCCGAGTATCGTTCACGTTCCCTTTGGCTCCATCACCACCGTGTCTAACGCCCTTACCATCCTTCCCACCTCTGCGGAATATTCCGCGATAGCATGGATCAGAGGGATTTCCCCTCCCTACCCCCGCATACCCAGAGCGAAAGCAATTCAACTTAAAACCCCGTCCGGGGGAGGACCAGCCTCCCCCCGGTCCCCAACCGCTATCACTGTCTCGGCACTCTAGGCCACAACACCAGCACGTTGGTCACTGGTCACTGTCACGAAGTACCCCTCTGCGGTGGGGTGGTGGTGGTGCGCGGGGAAGCTCGTGGTGTCGTTGGGCTGTTCAATGGCGGGCTCCCTCCCAAAATGAGAATACAATTTCATTACATCCGTACTGTCATCACATATTTGTTTGTCACTGCCACGCCACAGTGTACCTGCATATGGGGCTGGCAAAGAATCCCGCGATGACATAATGGTAGATTAAAATAGCCATTAAATTCTTACTTTTTAAGACTTATTTTAACAGTGTGGAAAGGGCAGGGTATCCTGGCTGCAGCCGCCACCTATTTTAGAGCGGCGCCTGCTGCTGCTGCTATTTCCGTGTGTGTACTGTGTGCACCACCACCGCCGGCGCCCTGGTGGTAGAGCAATAAATGGGCTTGATGTGTGGGACCTTCGGGCCTCTGTCTCGGACAGCGACAAGGACCGCTGCTTGGGGGAAAAGGGGGGGGGGGCAATATAGCGAGCCAGAGAATGGCCGAGAAAGCAGATAAGTATGCTGCGATTAGAGTGAAGCGATTACTATTTAGGAAATATCGCCCCTCAAAGCTCTCGAAAGAGATGTCGCTGTCGCTGGTCGTGTTGGATGGGAGCTTGTGATGGATGGGTTGCACTCAAGGGCCGGTCCCGGCCGGCCGCACCGTCCGTACGTGCCAAGTTGCAGCCAGCGGGCTTCGCGTGGTAGCGCAAGCTAATGGGAGAGCGAGAAGGTTGCACTGGACTATACCCTCCTGTACTGGACTATACCCCTCTGTACTGGACTACCCTTCTGTACTGGACTACCCTTCTGTACTTGACTACCCCTCTGAACTGGACCACACGGCGAGGGAGGTCCCCACTCCCCCATCCCCTGCTCGTATTCGAGCAGCAGCAGGCTCCGCGAGGCGAGGTGGACCGCCTCCTCCCACTCCCGCCCGTACAGTCGGCGCCAAGGTGAAGGACGCCTCTGCCAGGACCGCAGTGCTGGCCGCTGAGGCGTGCGCTGCGCGCTCGAGCTCATCGCGCCATTCATTGACACGTTGACCGACCGTGCCCCTCCCACAGAGAGACGCCGCGCGCGGGGGGACTGGGGCGTCGCGTGGTGGCGTCGCGTGGCCCAGTAGTAGTCGCCATCGCCTGCTTCTGCGCGTCGCGACGCCGTCGTCGTGTGCCCCCCGGGAAGGACGCGTGACACCGCGCCGGCCCCGCCGTGTGCCGCGGCGCGCCCTGCACCGCGCACACCGTCTGCTCGCGGGGCGCGGGAGCGGGCCCCGCTGGCGGCCGCTGATAACGCGAGATAGATAGCGGTGCTGAGCCGCGCGGCAGGTTACCGCGGCCCACCGCGGCCCGGGACAGGACAGGTGCGAGGTCCGCCGCAGGTCCGCACGCGCACGCCAGTCGGGGGAGCGCGGCCGCGGACTCCACCATGGACCGCGTGCTCGAGGTGGTGAGTGTATAGGGTACACGGGGGGGATTGAGGGGCGGTGCGACGCCTTTGGGCGCGGCCGGACCACCGCACACTGGCCCCGGAGACCCCCGCCGCCGCCGCGCCGAGCCGCGCGGGCTTAACTGCGACAAACAAGTACCCTGCGGGCGTTATTGTTCTGATTGTGTATTTATGTCGCCCGCTGCTCATGGCGGTCACGCTGATAATCGTGCGGCCGCCATGGCCCCGCCGCGCCCCACATGAGCCTCCTTGTCCGCCGCCGTCGCCGATGTGTCAGGCTAAGGACGTCCGTCAAGGAACATGTCGCGGAGTAGAGGGGTGGCCAGGACCAGGGGGAGGTTGGGACCAGGGCGGCCGCGCGGGTGCCACGGGGTGGTTTCGCGCGGTGGCGGAGAGGGGCGCGACGAGGCCCCGACGGCGCGACGGCAGCGCGCGGAGTCCCCGAGCCTCCGAGCCCCGCGCGTGGAAAAAGGAAAGGGAAGATTCCGATAGGGTTTTCTGGTGAGGGGCCGGGGGGCCCCGGCCGGGCGGCTTACAATAGGCGAGACAAACAACAACTCGCCAGGGAAAGTACGGACCCGCGCCCCTGCCTATGCCGTGTTTGCCAAAGAGTTCGGCTGGCGTGCGATATTCCACGGACGCAGGGGGATTGTCGCCCCAGCAGGCCGCGTGCGGCGAAAATAAGAATGATTGATGCGAAAGAGTGCAGGTCTCTGTAAAGATGAAATGTGGCCCGTTTCGATTCAAATGCAGCCGTGTGTGGCAGTGGGGGTGCTCGCGTGCGGGCCCAGATCTCTCTAGTCTAGATTAGGCGTGTTTGCCCGTCTCACGTTACGCTACGGCCTACTCGGCCTGCTCCAGCGCACGGACACCCCCCTCCGTATCACCCCAACTTAGCGGAACTTTTAAAAAAGACCATGCACACAAACACTTGATGCGACTGGCGGCGGCGGCGTTTTAAATGGTGGGAACGGCGTTATTCATTTTTGGGGTGACAAACCCCCTCTGGCGTTGACTACCCTAAACTAGAAAATAGCAGACAGCCGGTGTGTAGGTTGACCTGCATGCTGAAAGTTTATACCAACTCACCACCATCACCATTCGACAGCCCTGATAGGCCGAGTAGATGTCCTTTGTGTACACTCGCGTATCTATATCGAGGGCACTATATCGATGGACCACTGTACTGTACCTGCATCTGACTTTATCCACGCAGACGTTTTGACCTCCTTCCTCCAAGTCCCCAACAATAAAATCCGCACCGTCAGCTGAGTTCCTCTGAGGACTGTACAGTATCCACACATCGCGTCTGGATTACGAACGCACTCATCAGTTCAGAAGAACCGAGTCGAAGTGCCGTATGGTTTTTTGCGGGGCACCCTCCACATTGCGCAGCGCTCCGCCCAGTCTCGCGGGCCGGCTATGTAGTGTGTTGATGAAAAGTGGGGCGATTGACTCGGGCGACAATTATCCGAATTATCTGGTGGCCCGTCCCGCCCTGCCACGCCCTGCCACGCCGCGCCCGCCGGCTGCATACAGCCAAGGTTGCGTGGCCGCGAGTTCACAGGGCAGGGCAGCTGGCTATTTATCAAACTGATTTGGCAGTCCAGCCGCCTCGCCCTCGTTGTCCTTTTTTGTGCTCTCATCGGCCCATTTGCGCCGTTTTTCATCCGCTCCCCGTGGTGTGGTGATGATATTTCTTGAGGGTATCTCCACTCTAGAGTATCATTGGCGTATTGGTTCGGGTCTCTGGGATTCGTGAAACGAGTCAAGTACAAGCGGTCACCATGTATGTAAGGTTTATTGCCTTTCTTCAGTATGGCTCCCGTACACTGACTGCCGACCGTCGGTGGCCTGCAGTCTTATATACCCGTGCCGCTGATGGCCAAACGGGGAGGGGGTTAGTGTTTCCAAGTAAG